GTTCTTCTAGTTGTGGCATGTGGGACGCTGCCTCAGCGTGGTCTGATGAGCAGTGCCATGTCCGCACCCAGGATTCGAACTAACGAAACACTGGGCCGCCTACAGCAGAGCGCACGAACTTAACCACTCGGCCATGGGGCCAGCCCCTAAAGAGTTTTTCTTTTAAAGATTTTATTTTTCCTTTTTCTCCCTAAAGCCCCCTGGTACATAGTTGTATATTTTTAGCTGTGGGTCCTTCTAGTTGTGACATGTGGGATGCCGCCTCAGCATGGCCTGACGAGTGGTGCCATGTCTGCGCCCAGGATCCGAACCAGCAAAACCCTGGGCCGCCACAGCGGAGTGCGCGAACTTAACCACTCAGCCATGGGGCTGGCCCCATTAAAGAGTTTTTAGTTCTTTAAGAATATGTACCATAGAAAAGACTTATCTCTAAACTTTTTCGATATCCTTTTGTACTCTGGAGAAGAAGCCTTAAGGAATTTGGATGTTGAGACAAAAAAGGACTGATAAAAATCTGGGACTGGAAAGGAATATAATATCATATCTCATCTTGACTTATGTGTCTTCTGTTTGGAGTACCTACTATAACTCAAAAAATTGTGTTTTCAGGAAATGAGTGGCTTATACTCTCCTGTCAGTGAGGATAGCACAGTGCCTCAATTTGAAGCTCCTTCTCCATCACACAGGTACAAAGCTCCAAACTTGTAATTGCTTATGATTTGTGTTACAAAGTACACTTAAGGTACTAGTCCTTAGTACCTTAGTAGGGAGCCTTTTCCATGTAATGTACAAAACCCCTAAGAAATTACTTTTGATCATGATCTAGAAATAAGATTCACATAGCCCGTCTGTTTTCTTAATGCTTTAATTTTCATGCCAGAAACAGTCATTGAGTAGAATATTGTAATATTGTGAATTCACTGTTGGATTAAAAGTTTGTTGGATTTCTTGAAATAATGATAGCTTTAAATATCTCATGAATTAAAATCAGATGACATTAAAAATCTATACTTTGAGAACATGAAATGGTAATACTAGGGAAAAATTTGTTCAAGTAAAACCTTGGGTTTTTCCCATAATTTGTTGAATTTTCTTGGGCAGATTGCTTTCCCAGATTTAAAATGAGGGCATCAGATAGATCTGTTAGTTGAGATCTCCCTGGTGTCTTCTTGTGACTCCCTGTTAGTAATTTAATTAAGTCTTCCCTTCTCTCTGCTGTGTTAGAGCAGGGATTACATTTGTCTTGCTCACAACTGTTTGCTGAGGTTTTAGAGTAGTAGTAGTGACTGACCTCATTCAGTAAGTATTTGTGAAATAGAGTGAATGTCTGTGGTCTCTTCTAAAGTTCTATTTGATGAAATATGTACTACCTAAAATTTGAATTTGAACTTTTTTGCTTGAATTCTTCAAAGAAAGAGCAGTTTTGTTTTTAATTTGCTAATCTATTTAGGATAATGGTCCAGTGGAAACTTTTCAAACAAATAGTTTTAGGATAATGTGGATTATCAGGCTGTCTAATGCCAGTACAAGAGATTACAGCACCCTCAGAACCTGTGTCAGTTCAGAAAAGCAGCTGTGGATCTAGTTTGGTAGCATATGTGGGGAAAGGAGCGATGGGGGATGTTCTAGTTCAAGAGCAGTCTTGGGATGTTTGATATTTTTCCCATTAACCATTTTATGGAGAATTCTCGTGAGTTCTAGTCATTCTGGGGTCACGTTAGCTGTGTAATTCAGCTTGTTTTCCTCCATATTTTCTTTTAACACACTTGGGAATGACTCACTCTCAGGGATGTGGTTATCTCTGAGTTTAACATTTACTTCCTGATATACGTGGGATCTTTGTCACTGGAATATTTATTATGTGAATGCATGCAGGCAAGCGAAAGTTGTCATCTCACAAGATATTTGCTAATAAACTGATAATTCCCATTGTCATATCCCTCTCTGTTTAGTAGTAGCATTTCTATCTACTGTGTCCAAGTTTTTTTTTTTTTTTTTTTTTTAGGTTGGCACCTGAGCTAACATCTGTTGCCAAACTTCTTTTTTTTCCCCCTCCTCTTCTTCTCTCCAAAGCCCCCCAGTACATAGTCGTATATTCTAGTTGTGAGTGCCTGTGGTTGTGCTATGTGGGACACTGCCTCAGCATGGCTTGACGAGCAGTGCCATGTGCGCACCCAGGATCTCAGCACCTGAAATCCTGGGCCGCTGAAGCGGAGCACGTGACTGTAACCACTTCGGGGCCGGCCCCCTGTGTCCAAGTTTTTGTTATTCAGTTTCTCACTGATGGCTTGTGTTAACATGTGACAGTATAGTATTATATCCATTTAACTGGCTCTGTTTATTGAATGCCTCTGATGTGTTTGGCACTGTTGTAGCTGTTGAATCCAGCTGGCAAAGTCCATGACCTTAGAGAGTCCCTTTTCAGGGAGTGTATTTGTGGAGGTTGGGGGAGATATTAAATAAGTAAATATATAATATAGTAGTAGTACATAACATGAAAATAGTACCTTAGGAAGAAAAAATAGGCATACTAGGGGTTTAGTTTGGATAGTCAGGCATCTCCAAGGATGTGACATTTAAGCTGATATATGAACGAAGTGAAGTGTAAATATAACAGAAAGTCATGGGAGAGTTTTAAGCAGGGTCTGATTTAGATTTTAAAATGTTTACTGAGGTTCCCATGTGAAGGATAGAAGAGACTATCCATGTTCCTCCCAGTCCCCTGCTGTTGAAGCCAGGAGGAAAGTTGGGAAGCATTGCAACAGTCCAGAAGAGAGGAGATGATGGCTTGGATTAGGATTTTATTGGCGGAAGAGACCAGAAGTGGTTGTATTGTAAGATAAAGTAGCAGATCTTGTAAAAGATTTAGGATTTCATGAAGTGTATGAAAACGTTGTTGGAGAATTGTTGGAATTTTATGTAAAGCTATCATCCAGTGATTTTCTGGCAGATAGATTGGCTGACAGTTGAAGGGAAAATAGGCAAACATGGTATTTTTTTCAAAAGAGTGTTTTTGTGTTTTCTTAAATAATTTGAATGTCACTTGAGGTTTGAGAGATATACTTGGGAAAAATGACGTAGCCCTTAAATACTGCTGACAAATGACCCTTAAGATTAAGATGTGAAATTAAAGGTGCTAGGAAGAATGTTATGTTATACTGTCCGTATTTGATTTTTCTTTATTTTTAAGAAGTATGTGGTTGCAATTATAATAACTTTTCTCCCCCACAATTATTAGCTTCATTATTTAAATTTCAGACAGTTTGTTTGTATTCCTGACGGTAACATTTTGGTCTCTCGCTCTCTCTTTTTTTTTTTTTTTTGAGGAAGATTAGCCCTGAGCTAACATCTGCTGCCAATCCTCCTCTTTTTGCTGAGAAAGACTGGCCCTGAGCTAACATCTGTCCCCATCTTCCTCTACTTTATCTGTGGGACACCTACCATAGCATGGCGTGCCAAGCAGTGCCATGTCCATACCCGGGATCTGAACTGGCGAACCCCGGGCCGCTGAAGCAGAACGCGCACACTTAACCGCTGCGCCACTGGGCCGGCCCTGGTGTCTCTTTTAAACAGGTTTACTTTAAAAAGCCTTTTTGTAGATTCATGTATTTTTTTCTGTAATGAGGACTTTCTTTATATGCCAGGTCATTGAATCCCTTACCCAGATTCTGGGTTTATGATTAGATTGTGTATTTAAATGAAAAGAAAAACAAAGGCAAGCAACGGTATTCTTGCCTTCCTCGACTTCGTCTTCCATCTACTTTGATGAGCTGTAATTATCATATCTTGTTTGTTCTCTTCCTGCTGCCTTGTTTAGACCCTCAATATCACATGCAGTCTAGCAGTGATTTTTTAGCTGTCCTACAGTGTGTTGCCAGAAGTCTGATCATGTTTCTTTCCTGCTTAAAATCTTTCCATGGCTTTCCATGGCTTGTTAATTGGTTTAGATCTGACTTTTTGCATGACCTTCCATATTCACCTGTACCTTGCCTACTATTTTTGTGCTTTAGAATTAAATTTAACTCCCAAAACAGGATGTTAGGGCACCTTTGCTTAAGCTGTTCCTTTTGCCTGGAAACTTCTGGATTCATCTCTGAAGTAGCTTCTCCCCAAGGTTAGGTGTTTACAACATATCTTAAGAAATCTCTGCTATTCCTGCATTGAGGACTGCTTTTTTCTTTTAAAGATTTTATTTTTCGTTTTTCTCCCAAAGCCCCCCAGGACATAGTTGTGTATTTTTAGTTGTGGGTCCTTCCAGTTGTGGCATGTGGGACGCTGCCTCAGCATGGCTTGACGAGCCGTGCCATGTCCGTGCCCAGGATCCGAACCGGTGAAACCCTGGGCCACCAAAGCAGAGCATGTGAACCCAACTACTCGGCCATGGGGCTGGCCCCGCATTGAGGACTTTTGAATATAAATGATGTTTTGCTGTACTTTAATGAAGTTTATCTATGGTGTGGGAGAAGTCATTAAACCAGTTGATTATTTTATTGTTGAGAGTACAAGGGTTATTTGCCTTAACTCTGACCCTGTGCAAAGGAGTTGATGCCATAGGTGATGGAGGATACTGAAGAGTCATGGAAGTCAACATAAACCAGACAAAAAGAAACACAAACACAGAAAACAAACTTCCTTGGCAATAATGTAGAGGGAACTTTCATACATCTGTAACTTCTCATTGAATTGATAAGTAATAGAAATATAGCAAGTTATGAAAACCATTTTTGAAACAGTACAATTTCCTTTATTTAGAATATTTGAATAATTTGTTCTTCAGCCACTCATCCAGTTTGTAGAGTGTGTCAGGCATGTGTAAAACACTCTTTTAGGCACTGCGGATACAGCTGTGACTATGACAGACCCTAGAGTCCTGCTGTCATGGCTACATAGCCTTAGGATGGAAAATAAGTTATGCTGATAAATTAATTATTCTGCTTAAAATATGGTATAAGTAGACTTTCTGATTCCAAGAATTAAAATCATCAAAATACGTTTAACTCTAAAACCTTTAGTAATTATATTTGATTAGTAGGCATTTCAGGATTTTTAAAAAAACACCTTCGGGTTCTTGTTACAAACTATAATTGTCACTGCTTGATGATGATATTAACATCTATTCCAATTCTGAGATCTGAGATGTGACTAGGCCAAATTTCAGTGCGCTTGAGTCTCAACCAAGACTTTTGTTTGAAATGCGAATTTTTGAACCCTATCCTCAAATCTGATCATTAGGATTGGAGGTGGTCTCGTGATTCAAATGCAGCCCTGGGGGATCATACTTTAAAAATATGTAAACACTGATTTGGTAGATAGTGCATATGCCTGTATTACTGACACTTTTTTTTCTTTTTTTTTTGTGAGGAAGATTGACCCTGAGCTAACATCTGTTGCCAATCTTCCTCTTTTTGCTTGAGGAAGATTGTTGCCAAGCTAACATCTATGGCAACCTCCTTCTATTTTATGTGAGATGCTGCCACAGTGTGGTTTGATGAGTGGTGCTAGGCCCGGGCCTGGGTCTGAACCTGCAAACCCAGTGCTGCTGCAGTGGAGTGTGCAAACTTAACCACTACACCACTGGGCCTGCCCCATACTGACATGTTTTTAAATAAATCTCTATATCAGATATCATCAGATATACTTATTTTCTTTCTCATAAGAGAAAGCTCAAATATTCAGCACTAGAGTT